TTTTCTTGATATTTCAATATCATTAAATAATTATACTATGTGAATATATGGTTGATATGGCAGTACTTTTCGGTGCCGACAAAGATAGAGCCACCAAGGAATTATCCGAATCTTTACAATTCGAAATGGATTTGGCCAATGTAAGTAGCATGACTTACAATTTCCAACAATTCGTAATAACATTCCTAATTCCCTTTGTGCAGATCTCCTGGTCCAATGAGAAGAGACGTAACTCCAATGATTTGTATAACTTGAGAACAATCAAAGAAATCCAAGAGGCCTATCCCTATGTACAATGGTTGGATTATATCAATGCCTTGCTGCCGGAAGGTTTGAAGGTCGACGAAAATGAAGTTATCAATCTATCGGTTCCCAGTTTTATGGAGGAATTGGGTAAACTGTTGAAACGTACCCCCAAACGTACCATTGCCAATTATATGATGTGGCGTATTCATGCCTTTTCGGTGGCTTTCCTATCGGAGGAATTCCGTAAACGTCAATTGCAATATGCCACGGCATTGACGGGTCGCCAGGAACAGGAGGCCCGTTGGAAGGAATGTGTTGATATTTCATCAGGAAGGTAAGCAGTTGAAGGGGTTTGATTTTATTTTCTCCCTAGTTTTTGTTGGTGTAATGTTTTGTTGTTGTTGGTCGGAGAGCATGCGTTACAAAATTTTGCATGTTTACGGAAAATTTTGTGTTTACTTTCTCTCTCTCTCTTTTTTGTAGTTGTAATTATCCGTTCTTGTTATTATTTAGCATGTCTTTGTATTTCCGTTTCCTGTTTGTAAATGTTCGGTATCGTTCGTGTTTGTGTGTTCGAGTCTTTCATTTTTGTTTTTCCAAAATTTTCACATTCTCTTCTGAAGGACATGTGTATATGTTATTATTTCTATTTTCTCTTCTTTTTTCTTTGTGTCTCTCTCTTTTTTTTATTTTTTTATGGAACAAACATTCTAGCGGTGACGATGATGATACGTAAGATCACATAAATCAATCCCTTATATGTCCACATACATTCATACACTTGTTTGAAATTTTGTTTGTTTTTATGTCACATCACAAGTTTATTAACCATGTCATTTGTTAAGCATTTTTTGTTTTGTTTTTTTCACGATCACGATTTTGTTAAGCACCATTTTTTTTTTGTTTAAAAATTATTTTCAAAAAATTTTCATAACGATAATATTTTGATAAAAAAATATTTTTAATGGGTCTTCTATTGTCGAGAATTAAAAAAAAAATTAATAATTCTCCGATAATCCTGATTTTTTTTTAATATTTTAAAAGGGTTTCCGATAAGCGTTAATTTTTTTTTAAATATTTTAAAAGGGTCTCCGATAAGCGTTGATTTCAAAGGGACTTGGTTTTTTCATACAGAAATTTTACCAACTTTTAGAATACCCTTCTGTCCGTTGAAATCAGGTTAGATGCAAAACTATTTACCATAGACCATTAAAATTCCGGTCCACATTTTAGAATAACCTCTATACGATACCATCTGGAGAGATTATAATTTTGAATTTCGGGATCTAATGGTGTTAAAATTTTCGTTTTCATAGGCTAAATAAACTCGTGACAGATATTGAGTTCAATCTCAAGTTTGGGCCCATCTTGTAAAGCCCTAGCAGAATATTCTTAATACAGCTCTTCTTTACGAAGGCCTTTCAGCTCATATCTTCCAACGTCTCCATAGTAAAAATTAATTGATAGATCATATTAAAAATTAATTTGACGGGGATCAAAATGAAGACGACTCAGAGTTAAGAACTAAACCAGTAAGGAATGTAGTAAAGTCGGACGGGGTCGACTATATGATACCCTTCACCACTTTCGGTATATTCAACAGATGAATCCTAACAAACGTCGCATTTTTGGAGGACCAGTAAAATGAAATTGGATCCATAAACATGTCATTCTGCAACCGATACTACATTTTTTATTTGGTCAGATATAGAAGCAATATCTAAATCTGCTGTGCCAATTTTCGTGAAAATCGAAAGATACATAGGGACTTTGGTGCACCATTTACCTTAAATCGGACGAAAATATATATGGGAGCTATATCTAAATCTGAACGATTTTCAGGAAACTTAACACACTTCAATCTAGACCTAATTCACTACGCTGTGCCAAATTTCGTGCAAATCGAAAGATATATAGGGACTTTGGTGGACCATTTACATTAAATCGGACGAAAATATATGTGGGAGCTATATCTAAATCTGAACCGATTTTAAGGAAACTTAACACACTTCATTCTAGACCTAATCCAATACGCTGTGCCAAATTTCGTGCAAATCGAGAGATATATATGGACTTTGGTGCACCATTTACCTTAAACCGGACGAAAATATATATGGGAGCTATATCTAAATCTGAACCGATTATCAGCAAACTTAACACACATCATTCTATACCTAATTCATTACGATGTGCCAACTTTCGTGCAAATCGAGAGATATATAGGGACTATGGTGCACCATTTACCTTAAATCGGTTGAAAATATATATGGGAGCTATATCTAAATCTGAACGGATTTTCAGGAAACTTAACACACATCATTCTAGACCTAATTCATTACGCTGTGCCAAATTTCGTGCAAGTCGAATGATATATAGGAACATTGGTACACCATTTACCTTAAATCGGACGAAGCTATAGATGGGACCTATAACTAAATCTGAACCGATGTTCACGAAACTTTGCACACATCACTCTAGACTTTATTCATTACGCTGTGCCAAATTTCGTGCAAATCGAAAGATATATAAGGACTTTGTTACACCATTTACCTGAAATCGGACGAAAATATATATGGGAGCTATATGTAAATCTGAACCGATTTTTCCCAATTTCAATATGGTTCGTCCTTGGGCCAAACAAATGAGCTGTGCCAAATTTCATCCGATTCGGATCATATATGTGACCTGCACTGTATTTACTTTTTAACATATACAGACGGACGGACATGCATAAATCGATTCAGAAAGGTATTCTATGCATATTGTCAAAAGGAACCATAGGTCTATCTCGATTATTTTTGCCTGTACCACAATTTTTATTTGAATTTACAGCTTCATAGTCATTGTTTGTTAATCATATCATTATTTCATATCATTATTTTTTTTTCAAGCGAATTCATATTTTTACAAAAGAAAATTTTCTATATTAATGTTTCTTTTTTTACGTTTCCGACAGTATTGAAGTGGATGATAATGAAGAAGGGTATTTGATATGTTATTTTTTTTTTCTATGTAGACAAACAGATATCATATCGAATTTTCTTAGTAAGGTTATATTGTAACAAAATAGTTTTATAGAACATTTTCAAATAGTTTGGATATGAACTACAACCTACATACATATCCCATACATTCCTATATCATATAGTTACTGAAATATTATCTAAAATGTTTTATTATTTTCTGTTTTCATTTTCTTTTTTTGTAATGTAGAAAAACAAGGTAAACTTTATATAAGAAATTGCTTTAAAATATTTTTTTAAAATGAATTTTTGGATATCATTATATAAATTAAGTAGAACTGTCTTCGTTGAGTGTCAAAAATTTATAAAATGCTTCAACTGCTTTTGGGAAATGGTGTATAATAATAATAGTATTCAAAACATATATAATGGAATAGATTACATATTCATATACATCTTCAGGGTAGTTTCTGTTTTTGTGCTAGGTAATCTATCATAGGCGTGGATTTTTCAAAAATATTTTTCAGGGCTCAGCATTTTTTAAAAAATATTTTTTGGAGCTTAATATATAACAAACTTGATACTAGATATCTTCTATATATAAAAATTGTGCCAAAAAATGTATACTAACTCATCAATTGAGAACGGCTGGACTGATTTAACTCAAAATTTCTTTCAGTTGTCGGTAATTACTGTGGGAAGGTTTTTATGAAGGAAAATTTTGAGAAAAACCCGCGAAAATCTTGCAAAAATTATTAAAAAAAAACGGCTGGACCGATTCGACTTAAATTTTCTGTTAGTAGTCTTTAATTGAAGTGGAAAGCTTTTAATGCAAGAAAATTTTGAGAAAAATCCGCGAAAAATGTTGCAAAATATATATTGAAAGATATTAGCATTTCCACACGTTTTATATCGAACCTTTATAATTTCATCTCTACGTAGATCTTTTTGGACATATTTTTGGCGAAAATTGCCAGCGAATAATACATTTAAGTAATTGTCAATTATGGAAAATTTTCAAAATATGTTAGTTTTCTACAATCAATATTGGATTGTCATTACCTTGAAAAAATGTTTGTATATAAAAATAAATTTATATATTCATTAGAGTTAAATTTAATAATAATAAACCAAAAAGAGAGTAAGATTAATCGCTATCATTATTTCCATAAAATCAAGATTTATTTAGTTTGAAAATCTATAGTAACGCATCAATTGAGAACGGCTGGACCGATTTGAAGGTTTTTATGATAGAACATTTGGAGAAAAATCCGCGGAAAAGTCATGAAATTGGAAAAAAATCGAATGTTGTTCTTTTATATGCTTTTCGGCTTTTCGAATGGAAAAATTGAAACTTCTAACTGATAATCGCGGAATATTTAAAAGAAAACATGATTTTGCTCTATCCATGTACAGTGAGCAGCAAAAGTCATGGTACCCCATACAAATCAAAAAATATTCAGTAATTCATCAAAAAGTAATTCACAAAATTTCAAATATATATTTTTATCTCATGTATTCAATCCTATACTACAACAAATTAAAGTAATATTTCATTTTTTTTATTAAAACAAAATATAAAACAAAATAGACATATTGAAAAGTCCATATTTTTGCACAGCATAAGTCTTGGTACCCCTGGAGAAAAATAATGAATTATTTAATATTACTTAATTTTTACAATTAAATTGACTTAACTAATATTTGTTAGGATATCCCTTGTGTTTTAAAACTTCATTCAATCGTTCGGGCATTGAGTATACAAGTTTTTTAGTGTAGTCGGACGATATTTTACCCCATTCTGTCAGAAGTATTTCTTTGAGTTAGGCCTTACTGGAAATTGTATGATTTCGGATTCGTTTATCTACATGATTATCACGAATGTTGAGTTTTTCACCACTTTGATTCCAATTTTGTTCCAAAATATTCAGGAAAACTGTTTTATTCATTATTTCCTCAATGAATACCAAATTGCCAACACCAGTTGCTGACATGCATCCCCATACCATTACTCCAACCCCTCCGAGCTTTACTGCTTTCCGAGTATTCTTTGGATTGAGCTCTTCGCCTTTTTTCCGCCACACCAAAGAGCGTCCATCCGACCCAAATATGTTAAATATCGATTCGTCCGAGAAAATAACTTTTTCCCAGAACTTATTTGTCTTGTTTTTAAAATCATTTGCAAAATCGGCACGCTTCTTTCTGTTTGTTTTATTAACAAGTGTTTTTTTTTTTGCGGGCAGTGCGAGCATCGAATCCACACTTTTTGATGCTGCTTTCCCAAAATGATTCTTTTAAGACTGTAGTGATTTTAGAGAGCTGGTGAATGGATCCTTTTTTAAAAATACTTTAAATTTTTCGTTCTTCTCCGATGTTGAGCCTCCTGGGACGGCCTGATCGCGGTTTATTTTCAATTATATTTTCTTTTTTGTATCGATTAACTACTTTTTGGACTGCTGATTTGGTTCTGTTTATCATTTTACCTGTTTCGGAATAGGATTTTCCCATTTCATGGTTATTAATTATTATTTTTCGCTCTTCAATAGTTAGTTTTTTTCCAGGCATTTTAAAAAATACTTGCTTTCACTTGTTGCACTAAGCAAATGCTTTTGGGAATGTGGAAAGTACCGTTATTGTTTTAAAAGAGAATTTGACAAAACTCTAAATAGTTGCCACCTATTTTACTAAACGATTTTATCCCATAAATGATGTGTAATATCAGCTCTGATCAGGGGTGCCATGACTTATGCTGTGCAAAAATTTGGAGTTGACACGATTTCGATTCTTTTTATGGTTTGTTGGAACAAATAAATGAAATATTACTTTCCATTGTTGTAGTATAGCAGTGAATACATAAAATAAAAAAATTGTTTTAAATTTTGTAAATTATTTTTTGAGTAATTACTGAATATTTGATTATTTGTATGGGGTACCATAACTTTTGCTGCTCACTGTATAATGGCTTTTCGAATGGAAAAATTTAAATTCTAACTGAATTAATTTTACGCATGATTTGATTTTGGTTTATGGGAAATTTTTGCGGTTCTTGCAAATTTCGCATAATTATGAAAACCATGATAATGGATGTTAGCTGATGGTTCTATGCTGAATGGATGGCACAACTTAATATATTGCCTTAAGTTGTACGTTGTCTTTGGCTTTGATAAATTTGTCATGTTCCTTCTTTATTGTCATTTTATATTGAGTAAAAAATTAAAACAATTACAAATTAAAATTATTCACTTCGGTTCCGATCATTAATTCCGTAAGTTGTCTTTTTTGAATGGATTATTCTTTTGAATATCATAAATTATGCTGTATTTGTTGGTTCTATGAGAGTTATTTGTTGGGATAATACCTTCTATTAGACGGTTAAATCTTCGACGACGTACACGTCGTGCAATAGTCAGTCAAAATATCCGTAACTCTCAATCGTAAGAGGAACGTGCAGAAATAACTCATTGGAGACGTGTCCAATCGAATATTTATAAAAGAAGACCAGTAGTAAATACGGACTTGAGTCGCGCAGCATTTGAATACGATTCAACAATCATCTACAAAGACGTTCGGTACGTTGATATCGATTCATTATATGTCATACGTCAGCATTGTAATGCATTAAAAATCCAATGTGAAACCCCCGTCTTATGCTGCGCTGGTGGCAAGGTAAAATTGCCTCCATTGGTTCATCCTCCTGAGCCATTGTATTCCTTGCTCTATGGTAATACAATGCAGGCAAAACACTTTCTGTCTAATATACAAAAATATAATGGATAGTTTTAAATGACGTCATTTGGAGCCGAAGTTGCCGGCTACAATCCGAGATATTAGGTAATGGCGCTTCTTTATTTTCAAAATTACCAATTACTTCAATCTTCAAAACTATTTTAATTCAAGGGCAATTTCACCATAGCACCCGCTCTATGTTACCCCCACCAAACCAAGATAACTTTTCTCAAATATATTGGATCAACGTTGTGCAATTTTCACTGCTACTAAACGTGAAATAATCTAACAATTGCAAAAATGTCTGCATGAGCGACCACAAAATCATTATTGGAGGAAAAACAGACCCGCTTGGGGCCATGCAAGACAGCATAATGCTCCCACTATCACTACAGAAGGAAATGCATCCAACATCGGTTGTTTAAGCATCCTTCCAACTACTTATATTGGAAACCCACGTCAAATACATGACTATGCTCAAGACGCGATTACTTACGTACGGAATTACGGGCGCCCGGATTTATTTATCACATTCACTTGCAATCTGAAATGGACTGAAATTTCAAACCTTTTGTAGACAGGCCCACTCCCAGTGATCGGCATGGAATTACTGCACGAATATTCAAACAAAAGATCAGACTACTCATGGATTACATTGTGGGATTAATCTCGAAATTCCCTGTTTTTCGAAATTCCCTCACTTTATTGCAGCTTCGGAACGTGGTCGAGTGCAAAAAAATTTTCGATTTTTGCCTCCGACCAAAAAGTCGACTTTTTAACTTTTCGATTTTTGCCTTTGACAAAAAAAAAATCGACTTTCGATTTTGTCAAAATCGATTTTCAACTTTTATCGACTAAAAATTTGATTTTTTATATGAATTGTTTTCAACAGATAAAATAAAGTTCTGGAATTTGTAATTTTTGAGCAATTTGGGCTTTGTAATAATAAAGCAAAGTCGACGTATCGATTTGCTTAATACTTAGATTTTAGATTTTTCAATACAAAAAGTCGATTAATCGATTAGTCGAAAGCCAATTTACTTATCCCCATCCAAAACAGGATTGCACAGGTACAATAAACAAGCGATCAGTCATTTAGAAATCATTCAGAGTCTCTAATTCCATTCCAGTTCTTCTTGTTTTCTGGAAAAAAATATAGTTTACCTAAAATATCTGCCATACATATAATATCGTAATCTTAGATTTTCTGAAATATATCTATCCTACTGCATTCATTTGCGATCGACAACTCATCCGAGCTTAGTTATTGTTACAAACTAGTGGAATAGCGCATATCAAAACCAGAGTTTCTGGAACATCACGTTATAACATTATCACACACACATATGCAAATTTTATAGTTTTCCGTATCACCATAATTTATGTTCGTTGATTTTTGTTGTACACACAAATCAATATTTATGGTTTCGGCCACCACATATATTAATCCTCACGAGTTTTATAGCTTTATTTTAACCCAAAAAGCTTTAAATTAATAATTTGTTATTTATTAAATCATTTTCTATATATAATAATAATCCAAACAAAATAATTTTTATTTTTCGTTTCATTTTTTATTTTCAAAATTACTTACCAAACAAACACACACGAAAATCAACTCAAAAACCATAATCGACATAATTTTGTTGCTAAAAAAAAACAAAAAAATCGACAACATTTTTATTTCATGACAACATTTTAACCACAACAACAAAAAATCGAAATCATGCAACAAAATATTTTTTCGTCGCGCTTTTCCACCAACCCGCCACCCACTACACATACATACCTACATGCCAAATTTTGCCACATTTCAAAATTCGCAAAAACCCCCAAAATTTGAATTGAAAACCAAACAGCTTAGCCATCTCGGTGGGTTCGTTGTACGTACGCAAATACTTCAAGGAAGACTCCAAATCGAATGCTCTGGAAATGGTTAACAACATACGCGATGTATTCGATAATATTTTGGATGAAGTTTCCTGGATGGACGATAAGACCAAAGCTGAGGCCAAGAGGAAATTGAAACATATGACCACCCATATTGGTTATCCCGATGAAATGTTGGACGACAACAAGTTGGCTGAATACTATGATAAACTGGATATCGATGCGGATAAATATTTTGAATCGTTCTTGAAAATGAATGTTTTCGGTACCGATTATTCGTTCAATAAATTGAGATTGCCGGTGAACAAGACCGATTGGATTCGTCATGCCCGTCCGGCTGTGGTGAATGCTTTCTATTCGTCGATTGAGAATAGTATACGTAAGTATAATTTTTAAACTCTCTCTCTCTCTTTGATTTTAAATTATTATAATCTCTCTCATTTTATAGAATTCCCCGCTGGCATCTTGCAGGGTCACTTCTTCAATGCCCATCGTCCCAAGTACATGAATTATGGTGCCATTGGTTACGTTATTGGCCACGAAATTACCCATGGCTTCGATGATCAAGGTCGTACCTTTGATTTGGAGGGCAATTTGGTCGATTGGTGGGAACCCGATACCCAAAAAGCCTACTTGGAAAAGGCCAAGTGTATTATTGAACAATATGGCAACTTTACCGATAGACAAACTGGTTTGAATGTAAGTTAATATTGTGAATTATTTGGGGTTATCTAGAAGGCCACAAAGACAGCTGTTTATACCCTTCACCACACTGTGGTACAGGGTATTATGTCTTTGTGCATATGTTTGTAACAGGCAAAAGGAAACGAAATAGACCCATAGTTCATTTTGAGAATATGCATAGAATCACTTTCTGAGTCGATTTATGCATGTCCGTCCGCCCGTCCGTCTGTTGATGTTAAATTGTAAACAAAGTACAAGTCGCATTTATAATCCGAATGGGATGAAATTTGGCACAGCTCATTTGTTTGGCCCAAGGACGAACCCTATTGAAATTGGGAAAAATCGGTTCAGATTTAGATATAGCTCCCATATATATTTTCGTCCGATTTAAGGTAAATGGTGCACTAAAGTCCCTATATATATATTTCGATTTGCACGAAATTTGGTATAACGTACTGAATTTAGACTAGAATGATGTCTGCCAAGTTTCGTGAAAATCGGCTCAGATGTAGATACAGCTCCCATATATAGTTTCGTACGATTTCATGTAAATGGTGCACCAAAGTCCCTTTATATCTTTTGATTTGCACGAAAACTGGCATAACGTACAAAATTGAGCATAGAATGATGTTTGCCAAGTTTCGTGAAAATCGGTCCAGATTTAGATATAGCTCCAATGTGTAGTTTCGTCCGATTTCATGTAAATGGTGCACCAAAGTCCCTATATATCTTTCGATTTGCACGAAATTTGGCATAACGTACTCAATTGAGGCTAGAGTGATATCTGCCAAGTTTCATGAAAATCGGTCCAGATTTAGATATAGCACCCATATATAGTTTTGTCCGATTTCATGTAAATGGTGCACCAAAGTCCCTATATATATTTACTATTTTCCTTACTATTTTACTATTTTCCTTACTGGTTTTTCATTATGTTTATTTTCAAGGCCAATTTATAAGATCAATCAGAAAGATCATCTGTTTATCAGCTGATTCTTCAGTTTGCTGTCTAAATCCACTATTGTGAATTGACTTCCATTATGAAAACGTAAACAAAGTCCAAAATTTTGACATTACCAATTCGCTTGCTGGTTGTCTTTATTAATACATATTGGTTTAATGCCAAATGCTTCAGGAAGATCAGCTGTTTATCAGCTGTTTCTTACGTTTGATGTCAAAATAATTATTGTGAATTGTAAAAGAGCGTTATTGGTGACCTTACCAATAGACCTTGTTTAATTTCACAGATTTCATCGAAGTGGCAAATTCATATTCCGCTTTTACTAAGGAGACTAGTTGGCATATGTCCTTACGAGTTAAACATCAATACAAGGCCTATACATAAGGCCACCCATAGAGATCAGCTGCTTCACAAGCTAGATGTCAAAATTAATTATTGTGAATTGACTTCACTTTATATAAAGTAAAAGAGCGTTATTGCTGACCTTACTAATAGACCTTGTTCGATGTCACAGATTTGATCGAAGTGGAAAATTCATATGCCGCTTTTACTAAGGAGAAATGGTTGGCATATGTCCTTACGAGTTAAACACCAATCAAAGGGCTATTAAAAAGGCCACCCAGGGAGATCAGGTGCTTTTCAAGTTTACTGTCAAAATCCATTATTGTGAATTGACTTCACTTTATATAAATAAAGTTGACCATACTAATAGACCTTGTTCGATGTCACAGATTTGATCGAAGTGGAAAATTCATATTCCGCTTTTACTAAGGAGAAATGGTTGGCATATGTCCTTACGAGTTAAACATCAATACAAGGCCTATAAATAAGGCCACCCATAGAGATCAGCTGATTCACAAGTTAGATGTCAAAATTCTTTATTGTGAATTGACTTCACTTTATATAAAGTAAAAGAGCGTTATTGCTGACCATACCAATAGACATTGTTCGATGTCACAGATTTGATCGAAGTGGTAAATTCATATTCCGCTTTTACTAAGGAGAAATGGTTGGCATATGTCCTTACGAGTTAAACATCAATACAAGGCCTATAAATAAGGCCACCCAGAGAGATCAGCTGATACACAAGCTAGATGTCAAAATCCATTATTGTGAATTTACTTCACTTTATATAAATAAAGTTGACCATACTAATAGACCTTGTTCGATGTCACAGATTTGATGGAAGTGGAAAATTCATATTCCGCTTTAACTAAGGAGAAATGGTTGGCATATGTCCTTACGAGTTAAACATCAATACAAAGCCTATAAATAAGGCCACCCAATGAGATCAGCTGATTCACAAGCTAAATATCAAAATTCATTATTGTGAATTGACTACACTTTATGACAACGAGCTCACTTAATTTTTGATAATAAACTTGAAGAAAATAATTGTATTTTAACTTTTTTGCTGAACTTAATAATATGCTTTGCAACAATCAATTCGTTAGCTACTTCTTTTCCAAATAAAATTATTAAATTCTATTCACAATAATACATTTTGACAGCAAGTTTGACAAACAGCTGATCGTACTGGGTGATCTTATTATAGGTCTTCTATTTAACTACTTTAATAAATCACAAATATGTAAACGTGATATTTAAAAACTATTTTTTTTATATTTTTATATTAATCTATTTATCTTTCTTCCCTTCCAGCTTAATGGTATTAATACTCAGGGTGAAAATATTGCCGATAATGGCGGCATCAAAGAATCATACATTGCCTATAAGAGATGGGTGGAAAAGAATGGTGAAGAACCAAAATTGCCCGGTTTAAATTATACACCCGAACAAATGTTCTGGATTTCAGCAGCTCAAACATGGTGTGCCGTGTACAGAAAAGGTAAGGATTTTCCATTTTAAATTTCAATATTAATTCTATTGGCTACTACTAATAGTATTGAAATTTTCGCGGGAGTAGTGGAATTTTTGCATCTGAATCTAATAAGTACGTTGAATAAGATTAATATATACTCATATCTACTGAATGATTTTGGAACGGTCTGCAAACATCGTTGGTTATTAGCTCTCATCGTTATGGTGCCTTCCAAATTGTAATCTTGATGATTTTAGATCTACTTCCTGAAGGGGCTAGATCTAGTCTTGGGCAATTACGTTCAGTACAGTGATCGAACAAACTAGGTATTTTTTTTTTAAATTGAACTAGGTCGTTCACCTCGTTCACTTGCCTTATATCGTTCAATTGGTATTGCATTTAAGCTGCCAGTTCTATCAACCGCAAAGAATTATAACTTTTCCCAATCATACGAAAAACTTGACTATATATTTTCTGCACCCAGTTATATTCGGCTGCACAGTTGTTGCTCCGGACACCTGTGCCTCTTCTTCCATGGTTTCAAGCTCCCTTCTACCGGCTGTTTTTGGGAGTCAAGTAAATCTAATGAGTGCTATCCTTTTAAATGTCACTTCAAATTATTTTCTGTCCCCATAGCTATGCTTAAAACACTACTAGAGTATTTGCATTTGATTTTTTGAACACCACAATGAACTAATTTTCCGAGTTTCTTTTTTCAATTAATCAGATTTTACATGAAGTTGATATTGTTTGACGCCATTCAGTTGGTCAAAGCCAGAGCACCCCTGAACGACACTGAAGGTGTAGAATAAAATTCTGTGTCGTTCAGTGACCGACGACGTTTGGTAAACAAAATCGTTCATTGAACTCGTTCAGTGGACTGATTCGTTCAATTGAACTTGGTCTTTCACGAACGACACAAGACTAGCTAGATCTCTTTCGGTTCGCTCGCAAATATTTAAGTCGGCCAATCAAAAATCGATTAACGAAAAAGGAACTAGATGAAGGAAAGATCGATCGTTCCATTTGAGGAACGGTTCCTTTGAACTATCCAACTTTTGCGACGATTTACCATAAAGCAAGGCTAACAAATTTATTTGTTGTTCTTAGTCAGTGTTCTCTTCTAACATTCGAATTTTTTCAGCAGCTTCGATTTGTTTACAGAACTTCAAATATATTTAAATTCTCAGCAAAGTTCAATTTACCTCACGGCATCAATATAAAACCGTTTCTCCGTTTACATCTAGCTGGCAATCATTTTTCTTTGATATGGGTCGTTTAGAAATGAACCAGTTCAAAGGAACTATTACGCAAAAGGAACGATCGGTACTAGGTAAGGTTCTTTCGTTTGCCTAGTTCCATTGCTTCACAAGTTCATTTTCGCTCTCGTTCAACTAGTTCTTTTTGAATCAATCAACTAAACTAAATGGTTTTTTTTACCGATGGAACCGAATAATATCGAAACACTTCTGTCATGAGAATTCAGTATCTATCACGTGAGGTCAATACTGAAAAGATTTCCGATATGCCAGTTATGTCTAGAGTTTCAATCACTAGCACAGCTGATGGACCGTGTTTTAAAAGGGTTGCAGTGGAAGTCATGCCGTTTATACTTAAATGACATGATATTCATGGGTCACACGACCGTTGGATCGAAAGGCTCCAAAGTTATGATTTCAGATTCGAGCACTGAAAATGTGGAAAACACGCTAATACTTATATCCTGTCTCGTAGGCCATACCATGGAATACATGCATGGTCCAAAAGCTGAAGGCAAGAGGAATATAGTAGATGTCCGGCCACTGCAGTTTGAGTTTGGCGAGGATTGGTCAACGGAATTCAATTAAATTAACTTAAAATAATGTTTTCTTTATAGTGTCCATACAAAGGTCGCTCGTCATTTTCAGCATATTTCAGATCTTAACCGAATATTCCAATCTGTGTTTGGTATTTCGCTTTCTCCGGGCCATGACATAGCACCGCCATGTAAGAATTCCCTTTTTATTGTACGTATTTTTAATGAGCACCTCATTATGGAGGTTATACAAATTTCGGTCTGGCAGAACTCGATGAAGTTTTTGTTTGTTAAACGTCTGAAGTTGTCTATCACAAGAAATGTCATTCAAGGCATTGGTTTGCAACACAATCGATGAGTGTGTTAATAATATTACACTTTCCGGGAGAGATGACATCCTTCCTTCCGAAAAAGTCAGACAATCGTAACATGAAATGGATCTGGTCCTCAATAATATGGAACGTGATTTGCCGAGATACAGTTTAATATTGTTCATGTTGGGCGCCATTTGTTACTGAAAAATATATATTAAAATAATTATTATCCACCTTTTTGAGAGGTTCGATTAATCATGCTCATTAAAGGGTTGCAGTGGAAGTCATGCCGTTTATACTTAAATGGCATGATATTCATGGGTCACACGACCGTTGGATCGAAAGGCTCCAAAGTTATGATTTCAGATTCGAGCACTGAAAATGTGGAAAACACGCTAATACTTATATCCTGTCTCGTAGGCCATACCATGGAATACATGCATGGTCCAAAAGCTGAAGGCAAGAGGAATATAGTAGATGTCCGGCCACTGCAGTTTGAGTTTGGCGAGGATTGGTCAACGGAATTCAATTAAATTAACTTAAAATAATGTTTTCTTTATAGTGTCCATACAAAGGTCGCTCGTCATTTTCAGCATATTTCAGATCTTAACCGAATATTCCAATCTGTGTTTGGTATTTCGCTTTCTCCGGGCCATGACATAGCACCGCCATGTAAGAATTCCCTTTTTATTGTACGTATTTTTAATGAGCACCTCATTATGGAGGTTATACAAATTTCGGTCTGGCAGAACTCGATGAAGTTTTTGTTTGTTAAACGTCTGAAGTTGTCTATCACAAGAAATGTCATTCAAGGCATTGGTTTGCAACACAATCGATGAGTGTGTTAATAATATTACACTTTCCGGGAGAGATGACATCCTTCCTTCCGAAAAAGTCAGACAATCGTAACATGAAATGGATCTGGTCCTCAATAATATGGAACGTGATTTGCCGAGATACAGTTTAATATTGTTCATGTTGGGCGCCATTTGTTACTGAAAAATATATATTAAAATAATTATTATCCACCTTTTTGAGAGGTTCGATTAATCATGCTCATTAGCCAGACGTACGATTCTAAATGGACTTTAAATATCATGAATCGACGAGATTGTCCAAAGAAATGTTTTTCATGTTGGGCGCCATATGTTATGGGTTCTCATGTTCGCCCTCTAGACTGCGTTTATTCTTGGCATTAGCATTTGATTGTAAATCGACTTAAAAAACGACTTTAATGTTGTTCATGTTGGGCGCCATTTGTTATTGGAAAATATATTAAAATAATTATTATGCAGTTTTTGGGAGGTTCGATTAATCGTGCTCATCAGTCAGATGGACAATTCTAAATCCACTTTAAATAACCCGAAACGAATTGGGTCCAATGTAAAAAAAAACGGGATTTGATGGCATAGAAAATAATGTTTTTATATGTTGGGCGCCATTTGTTATGGGTTCTCATCTTTGCCTAACATACTTTTTTTATTCTTTGTATTAGCTATTGAATCTCCCTGATTATGTCTTACATATAATTTTTGAAATAAAATCCGTGAATATTATTTTTTTTCTAATATTTTGTTCTTATAATTTCTTTCAGAAACTCTCAAAATGCGCATTACCACCGGTGTCCATTCGCCCAATGAATTCCGTGTCTTGGGTTCAATGAGTAACATGAAAGACTTCTCCAAAGATTTTCAATGTCCCGAAGGATCACCGATGAATCCCGTTAATAAATGTGAAGTTTGGTAAACCACAACACGCACACACACAGACGGAAAGAAGGAAAAGTCAATATTTTTTCTACACTCAAAGAAAAACTAAAACGCAAAAACAACTTCGGGAGTTTCTAAAACCCCCACAACGTGGTTTTTGTAATGTTGATTTTATTTTTTTTATTACGTATTTAATTTTTACCTAACCACCCACCCCCCAACCACCCTCTGTATTTCTGTACACCACACCAATCATCATTTTTTCTAACATTGCCTATGAATTTCTTTGACTTTAGTTTGTAAGTTTTGCAATGTTTTAGTATAATTGCTTCTTTGATGTTTTTTTCGCAAACCCACCCATTGAAAAGTTTTACCCATTTTATATAATTTTCCACTGACGCCGAATTTTTGCAAATTTATTTTTTGTAAAATTTCGCTTAAGTGTTTGTATGTATTTTTTTTCTACTAAAACACAAAACAAGTTAAGTAATTGTATATGTATGTATGTTTCTTTTATTTTGAAAATCATCATGCCAAATCAAGAACAATTCGAGAAAAACAAATAAAACAATTATATTTTTTTTACAATTTTTATGTTAATTATATAATATATATTTTTTTATTATTTATAACCAATTCATTCGTATTTTTTATGTATGTATTAAGTACGAAATTAATGTAACAAAAAAAATTTTAAATTTGATCAAAAGAGAGAAAAAAACAAACAAATAATAAAAAAATCTATAAGAAATAAATGTGAAAATAATATTAAAAAATATTTATTGGAGTTTATATTAAAAAAAATCAAAAACATTAAAAAAACCAGTAAGGAAAGTAGTAAAGTCGGGCGGTACCGACTATATGAAACCCTTCACCACTGTGGGTACATTCAACAGATGAATCCTAACAGATGTCGAATTTTAACATGAAAATGGATCCATAAACATGTTATTCTGCAACATATACTAAATTTTTCATTTAGTCAGATACAGGGTAGCTTCATGCTAGGATATATTAACATCAGTACGTTGTGCCAAATTTTTTGTCAATCGACCTACCTTGGGATCTTTGGTAAACCAATTATCTACCGGACGAAAATATATATGAGAGCTATATCTAAATCTGGACCGATTTTCGGGACACTTAACACACATCATTCTAGACCTAATTCATTACGCTGTGCCAAATTTCGTGCAAATCGAAAGATATATAGGGACTTTGGTACACCATTTACATTAAATCGGACGAAACTATATATGGGAGCTATATCTAAATCTGAACCGATTTTCAGGAAACTTAACACACATCATTCTATACCTAATTCATTACGATGTGCCAAATTTCGTGCAAATCGAAAGATATATTGGGACTTTGGTGCATCATTAACATTAAATCGGACAACAATATATATGGGAGCTATATCTAAATCTGAATTAATTTTCAGGAAACTTAACACACATCATTCTAGACCTAATTAAATCGGACAACAATATATATGGGAGCTATATCTAAATCTATACCGATTTTTCCCAATTTCAATGCAAATCGTCCTTAGAAAGTGATTCTATGCATATTCTCAAAAGGAACCATGTGCCTATCTCGTTTCTTTTGCCTGTTACAAACATATGCACCAAGACAAAATATCCTGTACCACAGTGTGGTTGGGCTAGGATCTTGAATATACCGAAGATGATACCTTTGTATATAATTTTAACTTCATATGTGTCGAAAATTAAACAGGGCATTTGGAGAATTTGAGATGCCTTATTACAGTCACTTTGATGAGAAAATAGGATTACAAAAAATAATGCCAGAAATGGGGATGGTAATAGCCTTTCAAATACCGAAAATTTTTCGGTACCGTTATATGATTTATACCAAAATGTACATCAATATTTTTATAGGAAGATTTGAAATCCCCCTGGAGAAACTTAAAAAGCCAATTCGGATGACCCAAAACCTACAAAAATAATATTATAATTTTGTACTAAATGAGAAATATATATGGGCAATATTGCCAATTTTTTAACATAGCTGAAGCGGAGGTTCACCCCTTTATAACTCGGGAATTACTTAAGTATATGAAAAAAAGTAAATAGTATTGGGTTAATTGATCTGTCGTTGCAAACTGTTCATGATTTTGACCTCCAAACTTTATTTTGGTGGAAGCTGTGTCTACTTTAATGTAAAAAAATGTGTAAAAACACGTTGAGGCGAACCAGTTTTTTTATGTTCTCTATCGATTTGTGACTAAGCCACTCATTGCACGGTCTTCGTGTCAAAATAAAACTAGAAGCCAACAAAATGGGGACTACGCCCCTTATGCATCATTTTTCAAAATTTTCACTGCATCTACCTTTAAATAATGCTGACATTTTGAAGCTCGATTTTGAGTGTTTTTTGAATTTTACTTCTAGCTTTAATACGCAAAAAGGTATTTATAAAAATCGATTATAAGATTATTGTAGTCGCGAATCTGCGTAATTTGATATGTATTTTGTGTATGTAGTATGCACAGCTTCAGAGTAATACTCATCCGAAGGTGCGAATTTTGTACGATCAAATTTCTAAAAAACCTATTTTTGGGGCCAAATTTTTAGATCTGTCAACTGAATGATATGGGTACCCGCGATCAATAAGGTTTTTTACGTTTTGGATGATATAAAATCTTCTTCGTGAAAATCCATCTACTAGAACGGCGGGAACTGGCCTTCCAAAAACACGAAATTTGGCAAAAAATGTTTTTGAAAATATCGCGGATTTATTTGTGTTTTCTGTGTATCATTTCCGCTTCAATAAATGACCTCATACGGATTTTGATCTTTTTCGAAAAGAGAACTTTAAAAACTTCAGCCGAAAGAGAGATGTACGCAATTTATCTCAAAAATAGATTTTGCTGGCACATCATGGTTCTTAATGGACCACATTGAAATGGTATAGATCGATGTATTTTTTTAGGGTGCACACCGAAATCGGATGCGCGTTAATGGCATATGGAGTTTTCGGAAATTATTCGCGTTTTACGATTTTTTTGGGTACTTCAATGTAACGTGCGGCACATCTTAGCCGTCAAATGAAATTTCGCAAAATATATATGGATTGGAAGGTAAACTTCAGTACTTCCTGGAAACCGCATGCGCATCAAATGATTTTGAGAATTACGCGATTTACACGCAATTTAAAATGTATATTTCATAATATTATTTTATTTTAAGATTTATTCCTATTTATAGAATTCTAAGATTTATCGGAAGGGTCTTGATATAATCCGCAATGCGTATACTTATACACAAAAAGTGATTATTATTATATATGTCAATTTTTCGGCGAAATTCGGGTAAAAAAGCAGAATAATCCCAATATTTTTTTTCAGAAATTTCTTGTATACAATTAAAAAAATAAATATTATGACATTATTTTTTCGAACCAAAACCAAATATTTTTCCTCAATATCTTGTTTTGTTGTCGCTGTGATTTAGAAACCGCTACACGGACTTGTGTGATTTTGATATCATTTGATTCATCATGGTGTTTAGATTATGTAGACATTTTTAAATTAATTTTTAGGTGTGTGTATGTCATTAATATAATGAAAATATTGATGTAATCTGCTATATGTTTTTATTTTATTCATATTTCGCGAATATGTGCAACTTTATCGTGATTATTATAATATATTCATATTCTTATTTTACGGAGGAAGATATATATCAACGTTTTTGGTCAATATAATAAACGGCGTAATTTTAAGATTTTTTTCTTATGCCCATAATTAAAATCTCGATAACTTTTGCGCGCATCAACCAAAAATTTGATCGCGAACGGTTTCGGAGTCAGAACATTTTTCTCTATATGTGTACCAAAAATCATTGATGTGCCACAAAAATAAAAAAGCTGATTTTTTGAAAATGGAATATTAAAAAATTGGCAATATTGCCCATATATATATATATGAAATTGAGAAAATTCGGTTCAGATTTAGATATAGCTCCCATATATGTTTTCGTCCGATTTAATGTAAACGGTCCCAATATATCTTTCGATATTTGGTATAGCGTAATGAATTAGGTCTAGAATGATGTGTGCAAAGTTTCGTGAAAATCGGTTCAGATTTGGATATAGCTCCCATATATATTTTCGTCCGATTTAAGGTAAATGGTGTACCAAAGTCCCTATATATCTTTCGATTTGTACGAAATTTGACAAAGCGTGATGAATTAGGTCTAGAATGATGTGTGTCAAGTTTCCTGAAAATCGGTTCAGATTTGGATATAGCTCCCATATATATTTTCGTCTGATTTAAGGTAAATGGTTGAGATTTAGATACAGCTCTCATATATATTATCGTCCAATTTTAGGTAAGTAGTGCACCAAAGTCCCTTTATATCCTTCGATTTGCACGAAATTTGGCATAGCGTACTGAATTGAGTCTAGAATGATGAGTGGTGAGTTTCGGGAAAATCGATTTAGATTTCGACATATCTCCCATATATATATTCGTCCGATTTTATGTAAATGGTGCACCAAGGCCTTTATATATATCCTGTCGTGAAAATCGATTCAGATTTAGATATAGCTCCCACATATAGATTATATTTTTAACAACGCGGCGTACCGAATAGCGTGTATCAATTTTGCTATAAATCGTTTTCCATAAATTTTCCCCATGTTACGAAGGCGGCTCTAAATCTGCTCGAATGAAATTAAAGTTATTATAGGTTGGAGAAAGAGGGAGCATATACATGCAATTGTTAGGATACATATGTAGAATATTGTACATATGTATCCTAACAAAGTGGTGAATGGTATCATATAGTCGGCCCAGTCCGACTTTACTACTTTCCTTACTGGTTTTCTATTAATTACGCTATGAAGTGTTAGTGTCCCATTAACATAAAATCGGTCGAAAATATATATGTGAACTATATCTAAATCTGAACCGATTTCCAGGAAACTCAGTACACATAATTCTTGTCCTAATTCAGTGCCCTATTCCAAATGTCGTGCAAATCGAAAGATATGTAGGAACTTTGGTGCCCCATTT